TCTGCCTCCTTCACGACCAAATAAAAAGCTATGTCTTTTCCGGATTGATCGCTATATATGGTAGGCTTTGCCTCCTTTACGATCAAATAAATGGCTATGCTTTTTCCGGATCGATCGTCATATGGTAGGTTTTACCTTCCTAACGATCAAATGAAAATTTATATTTTTTTCGGATTGATCGAAATATATATGGTAGGCTCTGCCTCCTTCTCTACGATCAAATAAAAGCTATGCCTATTGAATTCTTAATGGAAGGCGATGCCTCCTGAATTCTTGAATAAAAAGGCTTTGGTCTATATATTATTAATTTTATGAATTTATGTGTTTAATTATTTTTTATTTATTTTATTCGTAAAGAATAAATATATGTGTTATATGAGATTTAAAGACTTTGAAATATGTCTTTGAAATCAAAAAATATATTTCTCTTATGAGAATATATAAAGCACGTGTCAATATATTTTTTAGACAGTGCAAAATAATTGGAAGGTCTAGATGAGCTAGTCTCTCGACTTCCAAATGCATCAAATTCATAATAATCGATGCTTTGTGTACTCCAAGTCTCAAAGAAACTCGTGTAGTTTCGAAAATATATTTCTTTATAATTATTATATTGAAACTATAAATAAATGTGGTATTAAATATTTGACCACAATGGAGACACGCACATGTATAATTATATCATGCAAAATAAATATGGCAAAATTATATATGATAGTAAACAGAGGTTTGCTAATTGCTATAATATAGCATAACCGGTCAAGCCATCCCGGTAGAAAAATGCAATATATAATGATGATCCAGATCCAAGGTCCATATTAGTGCCAGCAAGGACCTGATTTGAAAAAAAGGTGCAATATATTGAATTGCTCTTCCTTAATAAAAGAGATGTCGTTGGATCTCTTGTCACTACATCTAAATATATAAAACCTATTGGGTGCAAGTGGGTCTTCGTGCGAAAAAGTTGAAATCACACGATATAAAGCCCGACTTGTTACACAAGGTTTTTCTCAAAGACCTGGAGTTGATTATGAAGAAACATATTCTCCGGTCATCAATACAATTACATTCAGGTACACAACGAGCCTAACGGTCTCTTATCATTTAGAATTGTACCTTATGGATGTAGTGACAACATGTTTATATGGATCGTTGGATTTAATATATACATAAAAATCCTAGAAGGATTTAAAGTTCCTGAGCCATTAGACTCAAAATCTAATGAAATATGCACGGTCAAATTACAGCGATCACTTTACGGATTAAAACAATCCAGACGCATATAATCGTTTAAGCGATTATTTATTAAAGAAAGGGTATGTTAATAATAAAATATGCCCTTGCGTCTTTATTTAGAATCTCTTTCGAGATTTGTGATCACTGCTGTATATATTGATGACCTAAATTGGAACTCGAAAAGAGTGATTAAATATCACTAAAATTTTATGTAAAGAAAGGGAAGCTTATTCAAGCACTGCATGCTTCCGTCCACATTTCAAAGGTAACATTTAATTTATGTTGAATTTATTTAAATTCATTTAAATTTATTTAAATTTTTATATTATATAAGGAGTTGGTTATATACCTTCTCCTTAAGTCTGTAGTAGGCTAAGCCTCCAGAATTATATGGTCTTTGGCCAAATCACCATTTTTCTTTGATAAGCTCATTAATGGTCGATTCCCGTAATATTTCTCCAAATTAAACCCCGTGTATAACCGGTCTAAAAAAAATAGATTCGGGCCAAGATAAATAGGTTTGAAAAGCCATCATCTTGGGAGGGGTTATTACAAGTCCCACATTTTTATAAGGATCTAAGAATAAATACATGATCCGTATCGGATATGTTATTGATCCTAAAGTGGGATTCAGTTCGAGATGAATGAACTCGAAGAGTTATCATCTCGAGGGGGAGAATTAAAGGAATCCCACATCGACAAAAAGTCGATGAAGTTTTGTGAATTTGATACCCCAGAGCGAGATAACTTTGGTGAAGTCATCATTTTTTTGATAAAGTGGAACATCTAAAAATGATGTTCACTCTCAAAATGAGCTTTAAGTAAATCGTTCATAATGCAAATCCAAGAGATTGCAAAACGATTCATGGTGATTTAATCTCCATGTGTTTACATGGCGCATGCAGTTTTGCATGTATTAATGACTATATACAAGGCCAACGATTTATAAGAAATATTTCTCCCATGTTATATATATATGATTGGAGATCAAATATTTCTCATTTTGAATTTTATGGGTGTGAGATATGTTATAAATGCTCCTCTGCACCACATAAAAATATCATCTAAAAATGATGAAATATATAGATGCAGGAGATGAGTCTCTGCTCTACAAATACTGAGCCATCTTATGAGAGATGTGTCTATTGCAAGATTTGCAAATCATCATGTTGATGATAAAATTCCTCATCCTTATGGGAGAATCATTGAATAGTCTCGATCTTTGAACAAATAACTACAATAAATATGAACTTAAGAGTTCAAAAGTTCAAATAGATCACTATTCATAATTAATTACAAATCAAATGCAAAAAGCTGATGGATGAGATTTCATGAAATTACTGATCCTCGTATAAATGCATATGAACTTAAAGTTCATAGAAAATCTCTTGTCCCAGCTAAAAATGCTCTTTAAAAATATGTCTCTGGCGGATGGCATATTATTGTCTATAACACGTAAAAAAACGTGATAGACAACTTTGGTTCCAAATATAAAGAAAATCCTCGAAAATAAAAAAGAGCATATTATTACTAAAAAGAGGCTTGAACTCTTAAAAAGAGGAGCATATAGACTCCTAGAAAGGAGCAAAAAGACTCTTCAAGAGGAGTAAAAAGACCGATTGTCATGGTTAATAACGAAATCAGGTACATGAATAAAAATCACTTATAATGATTAAGAGATGTCGATTAACCATGTCATTACGGCAAACATGGAACCAAAGACTATATAATGTCGACAAGAAAAATGATCTAGCGCGCAAATGTGATTAATGAGGATCATAAATCTCCGCTCTGTGAGCGTAAAGAGATATATATTGGCCAATAAACAAAGACGCAACCAAATCTATATTAATCTCGTATAAGAAACGAGTAATTCCTGGACACATGGTCCAAAAATCGAAAGAGTATTATGATACTTAAGACAAGACGGTGTGTCGCGCCGGATTTTGTCAAAATCACTCGATATTGAGTTGATGAATAAATGACTTGAATTGCGTCTCATGGGATGTCTGTAGGACTTAATCCCCAAAAGTGATATCATAATTATATTCCTGGGAACTTATAAGCAAGATGATTTTGAACATCATCAAAATTCTTAAAGACTTATTTGGAATAAAAGATCTTGGAAAGACAAAAGTGTCTCCAGATATTCCAACTAAACATCTAAAGAAAGAGATGTTATGTTAGTCACTTCTGAAGGAAGTCGAGTCTATATATTTGATCATGAAGCACTATATATAAATGCTGACGAGTATTTATATATTTTGTGAATTATAGCTAGCATATATAAATGCTGACGAGCATTTATATATCTAGTGAATATATTGTACCTAGCATTTGCTATTGATCTACTTGCAGGATTAATTCATCTCCTTCGACTAGACATTGGGATGAGTTAAAAACATGTTTTCACTATCCGCAAGGTACGATTGACTTGGACTTATTTTATTTTAGAAACCCCGAGTTTGGTTTAGTTGGTTTTGCAGATGGAGAATCTATATCAGATCTGTCTAAATATATATCGCAAAACAACAATTTCGTGGCGTTTCCAACAACAAAATTTTGGTCGTCGCTTGTTCAAGTTATGCCAAAATTATTGCGCTCCATGAAGCATATCGAGACTCTATATGGCTCAGATTGATGCCTTCAACATATACAAGAAGCAAGCAATATAGTCGCCAGTGAAGAGCCAACAACATTGTTTGAAGAAAATGTTGCATATGTCGTCCATTTCAAAGGAAGCTATGTCAAGATTGATATGACAAGACATGTTCTCCCAAGATTCTTCTCATGCACTCAAGAATCTGAGAAGAAGCAAGAAGTTGATGTTCAGTACATCCGGCCGAGTAACAATGTAGCAGTTTTAGTTCAAAGGCGTTGCCTGATACGCCATTCAAATTCATCTTTTGAAGATGATGCTTCCAGGGGAGACATATGATGATGAGCGTGACTGCACTCTTTTTCCCTTATCATGGTTTTTATCCCACTGGATTTTTCCATGACAAGGTTTTTAACGAGGCAGCAAATAACACGCAAAAGATAGATCTATCTATCTTCAAAAATCTCTGTCATGCTTTGACGAGATCAGAAGAAGCAAAGAGAATGATCGAGATGCATCATCATCTACGAAAGCTATGAAGAGAACAAGACTCGTCTGTTCCAGGGGGAGATTACGTCACTGTACTCTTTTCTCCTTATCATGGTTTTTCTCTTATACGGTTTTTCCATGATAAGGTTTTTAACGAGGCAGTACGTAATTATGGATAATCAAGGGGGAGTGTTAAAATTAGAAGGATAATGATTATCCATTTTTGACTTCCACCCCAAGCAAAAGGAAAATGTTATTCTATTGTCATGTTTATCTACTCTAAACTTTTCCTCCAAGTAATTGATCCCTATATATACGTTGCTTTGCTTCATTGTAATTTGGTAAGAAGAAGAGAGAAGTTATTACACAAAGAATGTTCTCTCGTACTCTCTCGTTCTCTACTTCTTTCTCTTTGTCTCTTTTCATTTTTATTATATAATAATATTACCTCATATTTATATACATATATGATAGTAAGAGTTATTATTTATAACACTACTAACTAGTTTAGTTCCAATCGTTTCTACTCTTTCTTTTGGACTTTTTTTAAAGTTTTGTTTGTTAGTGGACTCACATTTTTTCATATGCTTTAGGCGTGGAAATAGTTCGGGCCGGCCTCACGGGGTTAAACCCATTATTATGCCTATAAAAGCAACGGGAAGAAGTACAGTCTATTCAGCCGATCTCTCTCAAGTGTCACAATATTACACAACACAAAACAAACAAAACAAAAAATGGATGGCACTAAGGAACAGCAAGTAGATGGGGAAGTTAATAACAGTGAGAACACGTCGAAAGAGAAAAAGGTATTATTTCATTCCACTTATTAGATACCATCTCCCCTCTCTCTCTAATTCGGTATATGTACTTCTTAACATTAGTCCATATATATTTAATTTAATTTAATTCTCTAAATATAGTTTGAATTCATGCAAATTATAGGTCGAGTTACGTTGGTCGTCTAGAATCATAACAAAATTTATATCTATCGAAAAAGGTTATTTTTCTTGCTAGCTACTAAAAAAAAAAAAATCAAAAGCGCCAGCCGCTTTGGTATCAAGAAAAGCATCAAACATGTAATATAATAGTTTATGTTACGTGAACAAAAAAAAAAAAATAGTTTATGTTAATGTTGTTGTATCACAATTTTGATTCAACTTTTATTTTACATGTTGACGAAAAGAAGTGAATAACTATCGTACCAATACTTGATTGGAAATTGTTTATCAAAGCTACAAATTGTCGTGTTTATATACTGACAGCAAAGTATCATAACACTTTTTGTTGTTAAATTTTTGGTTATTTTATCAGAAATCACGAGAAAAATTATACCGACCCGACTCCTTTACAATAGAGGCTGGGAAAACTCCAACAAATACTAGTCTTCCCTCGTTGGTGTGTATCTTAATCCTTTGTGTTTGATGGATAAAATGATCAGAACTTTGTATATAAAAACATACAACTTTGTATATGAAATAGATGAGCTGGAGAGCGACGATGAGTTTGGCGTTTCAGAGTCTAGGAGTGGTGTATGGAGACATTGGGACGTCGCCGTTGTATGTGTACGCAAGTACTTTCACTCAAGGCATCAATGAAAAAGATGATGTTATTGGCGTTCTCTCGCTCATTATCTACACTATTACTCTTGTTGCACTCCTCAAATATGTTTTCATTGTTCTTCAGGCTAACGACAACGGTGAAGGTACTTTTTTAGATGGTTGGATTGTTCGTTATAAATGATTAAATTATTTTTTAATTACGAACTCATTATTACTATATTTTATGATATTCTACTTTTTCTAATTAATAAATTGAACTAATTGAGATAAAACTATAGTTTTGCTTTAAATTTTGTATTAAAAATACAAAACAATTCTTGTAAAACACAAATAATTTAATAAACCAAAAGGCGATTTTACATAGATTACGAAATGATAGATAAATAAAAGATAATGTTTTGAGATTTAAAGGTTATAGTTTACATAAATTATATATGTATTAATGTTGTTAGAAAAAAATGAAACGTACAACTTTACTTACTTCTAAATAATGAGTGAGTTTAGGGAAGTAGACTTTTTTTTTTTTTTTTTTTTTTCTCATCTAGTAACTTTTAGGCTTATTGAACAAGCAAGGTATAGTTATGAGTTAATAAATAAATAAAAAATCCAAACTTCATTGGTTTTTTTATTATAATTATTATATACCGCAATTATTACTGTTGACTTTTGAATTATTCTGATGCACGACCTCCATGTATCATATATAAACAATTTCGTATGCATATGGACGATTTTATATAATACTGTCAAGTGACACGATTCAATAAACGTGATTACTCTTGTTCCTTATGTAACGCGTGTCCTCGAAACTCGAAACGTCAAGAGTACGTACGCGTACGACGTCGTCTTTGTATATTACTATATTTATTATACGAGGTGATAATTAGGGGCGGGTCTAACTGAGGAAAAAAAAAAATACTTTTGATTTGTCTTACGTTCTTTAATATGATACGAATTGGGATTTTAAAACAAAGTCATAGATCAATAAGATAATGTTAAAAAATTTCATCAAATGCATTGTTTTCGTTAGAAAAACCGTTTTTACATCAAATGCATTATTTTCTAAAATTCTCTTAAAAAAATAGAATTTACTATATTCTAGTGAAAGTAAAAAAGTCTTCGTACTTGTTGTTTACCGAAACTTGAAGTAGAGTGATCCGATTACGGATGCTTTTGTCCACGATTTTTCCAAGTTGTGATGCTTATGACGGGTTTCCTCCATGTCGTCGAGTGTTTTTTCTCCTTCCATACGGTTTGGACTGTAATTCGAAAGGCATATCTCAAAAAACAGAAGTGGTTTCGGAGCTTCGGAGCTAATGTTGTAATTACTAGAAGTAGAAGATAATGTTAAATTAAGTATAAGATTTTACAAAAGTAAGAGTAATTAATGATTTGTTTTGCATTACTAGAAGCTAATGTTGTAATTACTAGAACATAATGTTAAATTAAGTATAAGATTTTACAAAAGTAAGAGTAATGATTTCTTTTGCATTGTTAATTATATATATATTGTTTCATTATTCCCTAGCAGAGTAGGCACAACTCTGGTGATAATGTTACGTACTTAGTACTAATAGTTTCTTTTCATTTATAACCGATATGTTAATAATGTAAAATTTTCGATATCTGTAGATTACGTACTTAGTACTTTATGAACTAGATATACAAGATATTGTAGATTAGTGTCATCATCACAAAGTTATACATGCCACTATGTATAAGAAAAAGTTACACATGCCAAATCATATGATTGCAATTTTAGTAAACAAGAAAGATCTTAATGAAGCTATTACTGCTTAATAATGCCAGATTCATTATTTTGTCTAAATGTAAACTACTAAGAACTTATAACCCCGAAAAAAATGTTAATTCGTATATGAAAATATTAATGAAGTTTAATTACAATATTTGAACGCAGGAGGAACATTTGCATTATACTCACTCACATGTCGGTATGCAAATATGGGACTAATTCCAAACCAAGAACCAGAAGACAGCGAGCTCTCAAACTATACACTTGAACTTCCAACCACACAGCTCAGAAGAGCCCATATGATCAAAGAGAAGCTCGAGAACTCTAAATTCTCTAAGATCATACTCTTCATCGTCACTATTATGGGCACTTCAATGGTCATTGGTGATGGAATCCTTACCCCTTCTATCTCAGGTTCAAAACCATCAGTCGATCATCCTCTCTAGCTAGCTAGAATCATACATATATATGTTATAGATAACAAACTCTTTTTTATTCCGGTGCAAGTATTAAACTAACAAATTTCATACTTATTTTTGTTTGTCCCAGTACTTTCGGCAGTGAGTGGAATCAAATCGCTCGGGCAAGGTAAACTTAACACTTTCATCTTAATTCTCGTTTATTAATTGATACAATGTCACGTACCTAATTCTCTAATGATATTTGATGATAAATGCGCAGACACGGTGGTTGGTGTTTCGGTTGCAATCTTGATTATTCTATTCGCATTTCAGCGGTTTGGAACCGATAAAGTCGGATTCTCATTCGCTCCGATCATCCTTGTATGGTTCACATTTCTTACCGGAATCGGCCTCTTCAATCTGTTCAAACATGACATTACCGTCTTAAAGGCACTTAATCCACTCTATATTATTTACTACTTTAGAAGAACTGGTAGAAAGGGATGGATTTCTCTAGGAGGTGTTTTCCTCTGCATTACTGGTGAGAGTCCATAAATATATGTATACTTTATATCTTCCATTAAATTGCTCATAAAATATGAAATTTAATGATTGAAATGTAATATATTGAATTAGGGACGGAAGCCATGTTTGCTGATCTAGGTCACTTCAGTGTCCGAGCCGTACAGGTGATATTTTATATATATTCCCTAGCTAACAGAATTTTTTAAAAATTGGACATAGTTAAGTTTTATGGGTTTTCAATTTAAAATGTTTTACTACTATTAGCGTATGTTCCTTATGTATATTCCAAACAAACCCGTACTACTTTTGGTATTTAATTCACTGACCCAATTTTTCCAAAAAATGTCACAGATTAGTTTCTCATGTGTGGCATATCCGGCTCTAGTAACAATATATTGCGGGCAGGCTGCGTACCTTACTAAACATACATCAAACGTTTCAAATACTTTCTACGACTCAGTCCCAGGTTAGTTGAATTCAAATGATATAAGTTTGGAAAAACACTAAATCTATAACGTATCAAAGTATATGTGAATGTAATAACCATCCATCTCAAAATGAATATAATATTCTTTATATACTATGTTAAATCCCTCAACTTATTTTGATGTGCAATTTCTAACGATATAACATTGGATGCAACTTAACAGATCCGCTATACTGGCCAACATTTGTGGTCGCGGTCGCAGCATCGATCATCGCGAGCCAAGCTATGATATCAGGAGCCTTCTCAGTCATCTCGCAGTCTCTACGTATGGGTTGTTTCCCTCGAGTGAAGGTGGTTCACACCTCGGCTAAGTACGAGGGACAAGTCTACATCCCCGAGATCAACTACTTCCTCATGCTTGCTTGCATTGCTGTTACCCTCGCCTTCAGAACCACTGAGAAGATTGGCCACGCTTATGGGATCGCTGTCGTAACCGTCATGGTCATCACAACCATTATGGTGACTCTCATAATGCTGGTTATCTGGAAAACCAACATAGTGTGGATCGCTACGTTCTTGGTCTTGTTTGGTTCTATAGAGATGTTATACCTATCGTCAGTCATGTACAAGTTCACGAGCGGTGGGTATTTACCACTTGCGGTAACGGTAGTTTTGATGGCAATGATGGCGATTTGGCAATACGTTCACGTCCTCAAGTACCGGTATGAGATGAGGGAGAAAATTTCTCGTGAAAATGCTATACAAATGGCTACAAGTCCTGACGTAAAACGGGTTCCAGGGATTGGTCTATTCTACACGGAGCTTGTTAACGGTATAACTCCATTGTTCTCTCATTATATCTCGAATCTTTCGTCGGTCCACTCGGTTTTTGTCTTGATATCGATCAAGACACTTCCCGTGAACCGAGTGACGCCTTCAGAGCGGTTCTTTTTCCGTTACGTGGGGCAAAAAGATTCAGGAATGTTTCGGTGTGTTGTGAGGTATGGTTACAAAGAAGACATTGAGGAGACTGATGAGTTCGAGCGTCATTTTGTTCATTGCTTGAAGGAATTCATTTATCACGAGCACTTAATGTCCGGAGACAGAGGAGACGTGGACGAGATGGGCAAAGAAGAGGAACCAAATGCTGAGACCACACTTGTGCCTTCGGCTAACTCTGTCCCTGCCTCGGGGCGGATCGGATCCGCGCATTCATCTTCGTCGGACAAGATTAGGTCAGGAAGGGTCGTACATGTGCAATCCGTTGAGGATCAAACGGAGTTGGTGGAGAAAGCAAGAGAGAAAGGAATGGTTTATCTAATGGGAGAGACGGAAATTACCGCGGCAAAAGATTCTTCTTTGTTTAAGAAGTTTATAGTGAACCATGCTTACAATTTCTTGAAGAAGAATTGTCGGGAAGGAGACAAAGCACTTGCGATTCCTAGGTCAAAGCTTCTCAAGGTTGGCATGACTTATGAGTTATAAGGTTTAATCATTATGACCTAAATAAAGTGTCTTGAAGCATTGTGACCTAAATAAAGTGTATCCATGTCTAGGTGATCCTTGTTTTTGCTCGCGTATTTTCTTTAATTTTTGTTAATGTGCAACGTATTAGTTATCACCCCTTTTTATATATATTGTCAGTTGGTGTTTATCGTTTTTAATGGGTACTTTATTGGGATATAAAATTTACATTAGCTCAGCCGAAACAAAGAATTAGGAATGAACCAGAAATGTGAACCTCGAAGTATATTATACCAGAACAAAGGATTTAGGATTGGTTATCGTTCTAAGAAATGGTTGCAGTACCTTCAGTAACATCAGTGCCAATAATATTGTGCTGTAAGCGACCTTTTTTTTCGTCAAATCAAATATATTGATATCAAAAAGTGTTTATAAAATTAAAAAACATTACAAAACAACCGTTATAAGTAAATACACGATGTTGATACAATTTCGATAAAAAAAAATAATAGAAATAACTCATCTATCATTTAGTAGATTTATAGGCAACATATGTGATATGTTAAGTCTATATGTTAAGTCTCTCCTTCACACATTTTTTATTGGATGTGAGCTTGCTGCTAAAATTCCAAAATGCTCTTACCATTACTTTAACTAGTAACTAGACAAAGGGTTAGCTTTTGTCTTAGGGCCTGACTAGTTTAAACGTACGTTGCGGGTGCGGGTACGGTTAATTAGTAATATGTTATGTGTACTCAGCTATACATATTGTAACTTGTTGAGAAGTAAGGGCATGTTCGTTTGTTAATGACAGCAACAGCGATAGCGACTCCAACAAAGACAAAAAATATAACGGAGATAAAAAAACAGTCTGCTCAATATGGACGCCGGCGACGTCAATAGTGAAGATGTTGAGTCGCTGTTATTTTTAGCGACACGTGTATATGCCTTATACGTCGCTGTTATTAGCATCGAGCGACTCCTCTCCACACAACTCTCTACAGACTCCACGTAATTGTGTTAAGCAACTGTTTTTTGGTCGCTAGATCTAGTCGGAGCGTTTGGAAAAAGAAGAGGGCTTAAATACACAAAAAATTCAGACCTTTGAACCTTGTTTTACACATGGTAATACTATAGTTATTATGGAATATTGTAAAAAATTGTACATCTCTTGGTTTAGGCAATTTTAAATTCGAATATGTAGAGAATATGTCTAGTGTTAATGGAACACACAATCACAAGCGGCTTGTGTCTTCTGCAATCACATTTCAGAATCTCGTGACCACCTTTTCTTCTCTTGTGTCTACACCTCGGCAATCTGGGAAGCCTCGGCAAAAAACATTCTCAACGCTAGCTATTCAACAGATTGGCAATCTCTCATCACCCACATCTCAAATATGCAGAACCCTCGAGTAGAAAGTTTTTTAGCCCGCTACACCTTTCAAACGGCGGTTTACACAATATGGCGGGAGCGTAATGGAAGAAGACACGGCGAGTCTCCTAATCCAGCAATGCGCCTCATCAGATGGATAGACAAGCAGCTCCGGAACGCACTCTCATCCATAAAACTTTCGGGTGATAGGCGATATGACAAAGGGCTACAAATGTGGTTTGCATCAAGAGATTAAGTTTTCTTGGTTTTTTACTTTACTTCAAACTGTTTCTTTAAACTATCCGTTGCACTAGTTGTAAAAACGATATTTTTTCTTTGAATATAATTTAACATTACATTCAAAAAAAGAATGTCTAGTGTTAGTTACCAAATATAAGTTTCAATTTTAGTATTATGATTAGTAAGGTTTGATTACCAAATATAAGATTCGATTCAACCCAGAGAAAGGCCTACATTATGAAAGTTTATTAAAATTGAGTATTTTACTTAAAACATTGAAAAATCCTATCTAGGATATATGGTAAACGTGGAGGTTTATTTGTAGTGAGACTAACATAGACGTGTTTAAAATGTTTGTTACAGGTGTGTGTCTCAATAACGAAAAGGAACATCCCTGGTCGGATGGGACACAAAGAAGGGCATATATACGACCGTTGCAGTCTCGGCTTTAACCGGTCATGTCACTGACCCAAGGCAGTTCTTTCAGTAGGCTAATGTAATGGCATCGTGAGAAAAATCATATGCTATGCATCGACAAAACATCGCTAAATGATGGGCATTGTGAACTATATGTATGTATTACTATTTTCCTTATTTCGCTTTTGAACTTGAAAGTTTCAAGCACTATGTCAAACTTTGATGTTTTTTCGTTTGAAATAAGGGAAAATCACATTTTTAACCTTCAAAGTGTAATTACTGGGTAACACTTTAAACCTCGAAAAAATTCCACTAACACTATAAACCACCAATATTGTTTTACTAACACTTTAAACCTCCAAACTAGCTTTTCTGTTTGCAAAGCCATAAAAGATGATGGAACAATCAATTTATGTTTGTTTAATATATATTTATTTAATTTAATTTAAATTTTAATTAATTTTATTATTTATTACGATTTTGATGATAAATAAAAAAAGTAAAAAAAAAATCATCATCTTCGACCATTCACCGTCCGACAACAATTTTTCAGATTTTTATTCAGTTCATTTTATGTGTTCACCATCTTTTTATTCAATTGGTATTATGAGATTCAAATTTATCCACTGGAGAGGGTGAAAACGCTTATGGATCAGTTTAAAAGATTGTTTCAACAGTTTATCAAAACATTTCATGGTCGGACGGTGAGTAAACGAAGAAAATTAAAACAAAATTTGTTTTTGTAGATTTATATTAATTGTAATAAATAATAAAATTAATTTAAATTAAATTAAATAAATTTATATTAAACAAATATAAATTATATGTTCCGTCATTTTGTATGGCGGTGCAAATAGGAAAGCTAGTTTAGAGGTTTAAAGTGTTAGTAAAATTATCTTGTTGGTTTATACACTACAAGAAAACACAGCAACTCCTGAAAGTATTTCTGACAGACAACAATCCGTCGGGAAATACCGACGAATTAATGACAGGATTCAAGCCATCGATACTCGTCTGTAATCCGTCAGTAATTTTTGACGGCATTACACCCGTCGGTAATTTGTAACGAGAACCCTACGGAGTCATGACGGAATATATCCGTTAGTAATATCTGTCGGGAATCCGTCAGTTTATTGTTACCGTTGACATAACCGTTTGAATTTTTTAATTTCCGACAGAATACCGACGGCTTTTTGACGGAATATATCCGTTACCTATATCCGTCGGGAAGCCGTCGATTATTTGTTACCGTTAAAGTAGCCGTTTAAATTTTTTGTTTGTGACGGAATCTCGACGGATATCCGACAGACGCCGTTAGAATTTTTTTTATAAATATGCATATCCACTCATTCTCAACAACACACTCATTCTAACACCATTCTTCCATTCTCTAAAAGAAAATAATGAAAAAAAAAAGATATATCTTATTTTAGATCGTGGATGGACGAACCAATGATGGATCCAGAGTCAAACTTATTAAGAGACGAATACACTCAAGGGGTATGTGAGTTCATGGAATTAGCTTGTCAACAACCAGAAGCAAAGAAAACCCGTAAGTTGAAATGTCCATGTTCTCTTTGCGGGAATGCCCATAATATTAGGATTGATTTAGTTTGGAATCAATTGTATTGCAATGGATTTATGACGGGTTATAAGATTTGGTTTCTTCATGGAGAACGACCGGATTATGCTAGTACTAGCGAACCATATATTGTGGATAGCGTGGAAGAACGTAGAACGGAAGTAGATTTTGGTGTAGGTACTATTCAGATGGTTAATGATGCCTATAGGAAAAATATGCAGCCGACTGGTGCAGATGAAGATAGAATAGAGGAACCTAACTCGGAAAAAGAACTCGTTCACATCCAACATCATCCCATATGTATAACCGCGATCCCGAACTCGAGCGAGCCCTTCAAGAGAAAGACGATCGTATCGAAGTTCTCGAGAAGTTGATGGAAGAAGAGACACAAGCGAACAAGAAGAGAGACGAGGAGATTGCGAAGAAAGACGCGGAGATGGCAAAGTTCATGCAAGATGTGTTGTTCAGGTTACCACCAAATTCAAGTTCTTAAATCTACCCTTTTATTATTTATGTAATTTTTAAGTTTTATGAATATGTCTTTTATTTGTTTTTATGAATATTTTGTTTTAATGTATTTTGGATTTTCAAGTTTAGAAATATTTTGTTTTATTGTGTTTTTGATTTTCAGGTTTAGGAAATCAAAAAGTATTTATCAGCATTTATAATTATGTTTAATTAAACAAAAAATTAAAAAATAAATTTAAATGTAAAATATTCTACGTCCGTCGGGAATCCGTCAGAAATAACGAGATTTTTAATTGCCAATCTTCACGTCAATTCGTCGGAGACCCTGTCGGTAATAGACCCGTCGGGAAAACCCTCAGGAATAATTCATCGGTTTCATGTCGGAATACCGTCGGTTATTTGCCGACGACTTCATGACGGAATTCGCCGACGGATTTGTGTTCCCGACGCTTTGGAACCGACGAACTTCACCTCTCCGTAATCCGTCGGGAAGACCTCTTTCCGACGGTTCCCTAACGGATATGGCCATCAGATTATGGTTGTTTTCTTGTAGTGTTATAGTGCTAGTGGAATTCTTTCGTGGTTTAAAGTGTTACCCAGTTACACTTTAAAGGTTAAAAATGTGATTTTCACTTTAAAATAAGGGAGACTCACAAAAATGCCCCTTTTTCAATAACCCTTTTCAAAAATGCCCCATTTGGGTGTCCATTTTTAAAAATACCCCTTTTTATGTACAAAATGACTAAATTACCCTTCTTTTAATAAAAGATATCACAAATATATAAGGAAATATAACAAAATTAGGTCCACAAAATACAAAATATTTTTTGGCAGGAAAAGTGATCCCGTAATTTTTCCCGCCAAAACACTTGTAAAAACTTGTAAAACCTTTAAAATACCTTGTAAAATTTTCCCGTAAAAAAATTTCCCGCCAAAAAAGTTTTTTGCGGGAAAAGTGATTCCGCAATTTTTTTGGCGGGAAAAATTTACAAGGTATTTTAAAGATTTTTTACAGGGTATTTATAAGGTTTTATAATGTATTTTAAAAGGTTTTACAACGTATTTATAAGGTATTTATAAGATATTATAAGATTTTACAAGCTATTTTATAAGGTTTTACAAGTTATAAGGTTTTACAAGTTTTTTATAAGGTTTTACAAGTTATAAATACCTTATAAAACCTTATAAGTACCTTGTAAAACCTTTTAAAATACATTGTAAAATCTACAAAACACTTGTAAATACTCTGTAAAACCTTTAAAATACCTTAAATTTTTCCCGCCAAAAATTTTCCCGCCAAAAAAATTGCGGAATCACTTTTCCCGCAAAACAAATTTTTGGCGGGAAAAATTTTTACGGGAAAATTTTACAAGTTATTTTAAAGGTTTTTACAAGTGTTTTGGCGGGAAAATTGCGGGATCACTTTTCCCGCCAAAAATATTTTGTATTTTGTGGACCTAATTTTGTTTCAAATAAGGGTAAAATGGTCATTAAAAATTAAAAGAGAGCAAACTTAAAAATGGACTCTCAAAGGGGGCATTTTTGAAAAGGGGTATTGAAAAAGGGGCATTTTTAACAATTTCTCTGAAAATAATAAAGAGATAAAGAATTAGAAAGTCAACGCTCATAATCTAATATCTCCATTAGTGATTTGATTGCAAAAATTAAATATTGAAGACTTAGTGAAAAAAGGCTATTAAAGATAAATAATGCGATATCTTATTTTGTGGTTTGCAAATTGCTACATAATGTGTCAAATATTCCAATAACATTATTAGTTTGAAAATTTCTAAAAATGTATTCTATTCCAATAATGTAAGCTTGTCAATATATTCTCTAAGAACTTAAATATAGAAGATAGTACCGTTGAAAACAATTATGTAGAGAAAGGGAATATATTTGGTAACAAGCCATTGAATTAGCAAAGCTGACAAGAGATAAATATACAAGTTTAACCCTTAGTAATGCCAATGCATAAATAACCCTCAATAATACGTATTTTAATATAGATAAATTAGAAGGCAACAATACAATTGGTGAGGGGCCATTGACTCAAAAGAGTTGATAGAGATGTTTTAAGACTGACGATCCCCAGGAGACAGTAAAATATATGATGCGAAAACAAACAAAGCATTAGCGCAAATAGAATAAGATTAGTTAGTACAAAATTGATGAAACTAATGGAACCATAATTAGTACAGAACAAGGATAATAAAAGTAAATTGAAGCCACATAATATCTTTTTTCTCAAATACAATTATGTTGGTAAGTAAATTTAAATTATGCGATCTTTTATTAATTTTCTGAATTAAAAAAGGTAATTAAAGACACCTTAATTAGGTACGTATGAACCGTCTCATGCATCTTATTACATTTTGTTGTTTTAATAAATAAATAAAAACCAGAAATGTACACAAACTCTCATCTAAGTGGTTGAATACCTAAGTACGGTTGATCAAGGTTCGGATAGAACCCGCACCGTATGACCAGGACATGTAGCCGTTCACATACACTAAATGTCTTGAATTTTACATATTTAGGGCTTAGATTAGTTCTTACGCAACCATCCTAAAAAAAAAAGCATTTGCGAGTGTTTGCGGTTGTTACCGTTTAAAACCAATTACGAAAATTGCTTTATACCGTTTGGAATCGCTAAATTTCAAAAGCTTTTTTCCCACATATGTTGAAGTTGCAGGCAGTAGTGAGTGGTTCCAAAAAAATGTGTAAACGATAAATAAAATTATATATATATATATATATATCCTATATGTATTCAAGTTAATTGTCAAACACTAAGCATTCTCTATCTTATTATCTCCTAATATGAATAGTTATTTGTATTTCATTATAAAATTTATTTGTTTAATTTTTGAATATTTATTTAGTACTCTATTTATGTTTTTCGTTATTAATCATGTTCAACTTTTTTATATATTATCATAACAATATATTTTTTGATATATTTATACATTTTTATAATTATATATTATATTTATTTTAGTAGTTTTATGTTTAACCGATATGGCGTCTACTGGTCAACCAGTCGTAAATTTCCACAAACACACGTCTTAACTGCTAAACGAATCGTTAAAAACGCTTAATAGCATTTGAAATCGCAATGACGATTCAGAAAAAAGATTTGGAAGGTGCAAACCTGGGAAGGTTTTGTACGTACTAAAAAAGATTCGGAAGGTACTGTACGTACTAACCACAACGGAATATTCCGACTATCTAGCCAGTTCATTTCCCAAAACATTTTGCATTAAAATTTAATGTAGATTTAAATAGTTTAAGAGTTTCAACAGCCGGCAATACGTGTTTGAGACGCGTCCCTACCACATTAAATAAATCTATTTCCACAGACTGGTTGAGATTTTTAGCTGTTTGTTTAAACACAAAGTCAGCTTACTATTACGTCTATAAATGCCACTGGAAAAGGAACAGTTAAAACACATCTAACTAGCCCATCTCCCATCTCTCTCAATTGTCACAAAAGAAAAAAACAAACAAAAACATGGATGGTGAGGAACCTCAAATAGATGGTGAAGTTAATAACCATGAGAACAAGTTGAATGAAAAAAAGGTATGAATTTATTCCACTTTTTAGATATCATCTCTCATCTTTCTCCAATTCTATCTACTTCTAAAAGTTAATATTTGTGCATATCTAAGTATATATACATGTATTTAATTTAATTCTCTTATATAGTTTAAATTCATAATCATCTAGTCGAGTTACGTTGGTCGTCTAGGTGTCTATCAAATTTTATATCTATAGAAAAACATAATTTATTTTATTGCTACTAAGAAAAAATCAGAACATAACATAACTTTTTTTTTATCAAATCTCAACCATATATTTGTACAAGTTATTTTGTTTATATAGTCATCAAAGTCATATTTCTCAAAACGTTTTGGTTGTTAAATACTACTTAGTTATTTATCAGAAATCATGGGGAAAACTATTTCGGCCTGATTCTTTCAGCATAGAAGCCGGACAAACTCCAACCAATACCGGGCGTCCTTCATTGGTATGTATGTAAATATTTTGTGTTTAATAAGAAGATGATCATGAATATAAAATTTGGTGATCGTGAATTATGATGTATGAAATAGATGAGCTGGAGAACGACGATGAGTTTGGCATTTCAGAGCCTAGGAGTGGTGTATGGAGATATCGGGACATCGCCGTTGTATGTGTACGCAAGTACTTTCACTAAAGGCATCAAAGATGAAGATGATGTCATTGGCGTTCTCTCGCTCATCATCTACACTATTACTCTTGTCGCACTCCTCAAATATGTCTTTATTGTTCTTCAGGCTAACGACAACGGTGAAGGTACTCTTTTTTTGCTTTCTAAACGGTTAATAGTTTATTATAAACATCGTATTAAGATTTTTTACACAATTTAAAACTTTTATGATATTCAATAATATTGTTTACCAAATAATATAGATTAAATTTCTCTCTAATCAATAAATAAAATGATAAATTCTGCTTTACAAGAACAATGAAATTCTTTGTAAGTAAAAATAAAATCGTCGAACCATTTTTATTACGGCATGGAAAGTAACGCCTAAGATTGGGAAGGACACATAAATAGATAAACAATGATTAATGTTTGTTTATATAAACAATACAATTCATGTTAGAAAGAACGAAAAATGAAACGTATAACCTTTACTTATTAGCTAAATAATGAGTCAATTATCATCGATGGAGTAAACTATATGATTAAATTGACGAAATTATGTTATAGTAAATGTTATAACTTAAAGCTACCAAAATAATACACACACGATGGTCGCGCTTTTATTGGATCCACATTTTAGAATTTAGTACATCTATGATGACTTAGTCAAGAATCAAAGCATCATCCTTTTGACTTCATTATTATGTGACGCTTGTCCTATTGATGAGCAATTTCGTACTATGTCACATGTTGACCATTTTATACAATATTCAAAAAATTGTTAGACGGTAGCTAAGCATTTGATAAGAATTTAATTTATAAATTGACTAATCGGAGTTTAGACGAAACCTAAAGCGTTATATATTGCTTTCTTATTTTTTGAAATACCTTTTTAATTGTATAACAAAATATTGATCATAAAATATAAAATGTTAAAATGTTACATGTTCAAAATTATTATAAATTATATTAACACCTAATTTATATGAAAACTAAAATAACTTACTCTTAATAACTAAAAAAAAACTGAGAATAGTTAATAATGTCATATTGCTTAATTTTTGCTTAATTTTTATTATTTTTGCTTAATTTTTTTCCTTTATTTAAAATAATGTCATATTGGAAAAAAAAAATACACTAAACCAACCGATTTAACAGATTAATACTAATTTTAAACGTTTAAACCGAGAAACTGATTTAGTTCACCAATTATATTAAAATCAGAATGTCCAGAGATTCATAAACTCTTCACGATTGATTTTTTTAATATAGATTTTATATAATATCAAGTGACGCGATTCACGCGATCCAATAAACGTAAAGACAAGTCTTGATTCCTAAGTAACGCGAGTCCTTAAATGTATTCTTCTTGGTCTTTTTCGCATATCCTCAAAAGTCAAGAGTTCGTACAAGTTGCGTTGACTTGTTTTTACATTTGGACTCACTCACATAGTAAATGTTAGTGATAAGTCGGTGATAATTGGCAAAGAGCTTCTAATTAAGAATTTAAGACCTATATTTTCCAATTTGGTTAATAAATAAACCAATAAAACTTATTATCCCAATTCCCAATAAATAACAAATTATGTTAAGTTAGGAAAATTTTTGAGAAATGAATTTTTATAAAAAAAATTTGCTTTTCAATGCCTCCTACCAAAAATATTTTTAAAAATGCTTTTCGATGTCTATGGCGGTGTGTATCGTGGCTGAACATTTAAATCACCTCTATAAAACTTTTTATAACATTTTAAAATATTTAAAAAACTGTGTAAACAATAAGAGTTGAATTTTATATTTTTTTTATATAAAATCTCTCAAAATCTTTATCAAAATTTGTAAAATGGGTATAGTCGAAAATGAACAGCGCTTTGTGATATTTCTGAAAATGAGTACTATGATAAAATTTTATTTTTGTTGATTAATTAATTAATTAGAAAATTTACGTATATACAATATTTAAACGCAGGAGGAACATTTGCATTGTACTCATTGATATGTCGGTATGCAAAAATGGGATTAATCCCAAACCAAGAACCGGAAGACAGAGAGCTCTCAAACTATGCACTTGAACTTCCAACCACAGAGCTTAGAAGAGCCCATATGATCAAAGAGAAGCTCGAGAACTCTAGATTCGCTAAGATCATTCTCTTTCTCGTCACTATTATGGGCACTTCCATGGTCATTGGTGATGGAATCCTTACTCCTTCCATCTCAGGTACATAGCTACGAAAAAATGGAATTTGGCTCCAAATACTATGATAAGTTTGGTTCAAAAGTAAGCTTGTGTAGTAATCTTCTGACCAAAAGGTCTATATATATTTATACATACATGGATGGACCTAACAATTTCTAATGAGATAATGATTTACATATGCAAGATATATATATACGAGGATTAAATATTCTAATTCCAAGTAAAACCATCAATAGAACTTCTTCTCTTGGATCATATGTATATATAACATATGAACTAAAAAATTTCATGCTTTTTTTATTTGTCTTATTTGATCCAGTACTTTCAGCAGTAAGTGGAATCAAATCTCTCGGCCAAGGTAAACTCACCGCATCCATATTCTCGTTTATCACTTGATATATATAACGTACGTAAATGTGATCTAATGGGATTTTATGATATATGTGCAGACACGGTGGTGGGTGTTTCGGTTGCAATCTTGATTATACTATTCGCATTTCAGCGGTTTGGAACCGATAAAGTCGGATTTTCATTCGCTCCGATCATCCTCTTATGGTTCGCAGTTCTTACCGGAATAGGCCTCTTCAATCTGTTCAAGCATGACATTACCGTCTTAAAGGCACTTAATCCACTCTATATCATTTACTACTTTAGAAGAACTGGTAGAAAAGGTTGGATCTCCCTAGGAGGTGTTTTCCTCTGCATCACTGGTGAGAGTCCATAAATATATGTATATTATATATATTCCATTAAATTGCTCATAAAATATGAAATTTAATGATTGAAATGTAATATGTTGAATTAGGGACGGAAGCCATGTTTGCTGATCTTGGTCACTTCAGTGTCCGAGCCGTACAGGTGATGTTTATATTCTCTAACTATCCAAATAAAATAAAAATATGGAAAAGACATTAAACCGTGTTAAGTTTTATTGGCTTCCAATTATATTAGCAATGACTAGATTTGTTCATATATATTCCAGTTCCAAAGTGGGATATTCCTAATATAATTAACAAAACGATACTGCTTTTGGTGTTTTAATTCACTGACTCAATTTTGTCAAAAAAAATGTCACAGATTAGTTTCTCATGTGTGGCATATCCGGCTCTAGTAACAATATATTGCGGGCAGGCTGCGTACCTTACCAAACATACTTCAAACGTTTCAAATACTTTCTACGACTCCATCCCAGGTTAGTTTAATTCAAATGATTAAAGTATATGTGAATGTTGTTAATAATAATCCATCTCAAAATCATTCAGAAATGAATATAATATTCTTCATATACTATGTTAGACCCCTATACTTACTTTTAATGTGCAATTTCTAACGATATAACATTGGATGCAACTTAACAGATCCAATATACTGGCCAACATTTGTGTTGGCCGTGGCAGCATCGATCATCGCGAGCCAAGCTATGATATCAGGAGCCTTCTCAATCATCTCGCAGTCTCTACGTATGGGTTGCTTCCCTCGAGTGAAAGTGGTTCACACCTCGGCTAAGTACGAGGGACAAGTCTACATCCCCGAGATCAACTACTTGCTCATGCTTGCTTGCATTGCTGTTACCCTCGCCTTCAGAACCACTGAGAAGATTGGTCATGCTTACGGGATCGCTGTCGTAACGGTTATGGTTATCACGACCTTTATGGTAACTCTCATAATGTTGTTTATCTGGAAGACCAATATTGTGTGGATCGCTTTGTTCTTGATAGTCTTTGGCTCCATAGAGATGTTGTACTTATCGTCGGTCATGTACAAGTTCACAAGTGGTGGGTATCTACCGCTAGCGATAACAGTCGTTTTGATGGCGATGATGGCGATTTGGCAATATGTTCACGTCCTCAAGTACCGTTACGAGCTGAAGGAGAAGATTTCTCCTGAAAACGCTATACAAATGGCTACAAGTCCTGACATAAACCGGGTTCCAGGGATAGGTCTGTTCTACACGGAGCTTGTTCACGGTATAACTCCATTGTTCTCTCATTATATCTCAAATCTTTCGTCCGTCCACTCGGTTTTCGTCTTGATATCGATCAAGACACTTCCCGTGAACCGAGTGACATCATCAGAGCGGTTCTTTTTCCGTTACGTGGGGCCAAAAGATTCTGGGATGTTTAGGTGTGTTGTGAGATATGGTTACAAGGAAGATATTGAAGAGCCTGATGAGTTTGAGCGTCAGTTTGCTCATTCCTTAAAGGAATTCATCCATCACGAGCACTTCATGTCCAGAGGAGGAGACGTGGACGAGACGGATAAAGAAGAGGAACCAAATGCTGAGTCAACACTTGTGCCGTCGTCTAATTATGTTCCTTCATCGGGACGGATCGGGTCCGCGCATTCATCTTTGTCGGACAAGATTAGGTCGGGAAGGGTCGTCCACGTGCAATCTGTGGAGGATCAAACGGAGTTGTTGGAGAAAGCGAGAGAGAAAGGAATAGTTTATCTAATGGGAGAGACGGAGATAACGGCAGAGAAAGAGTCTTCTTTGTTTAAGAAGTTTATAGTGAACCATGCTTACAATTTCTTGAAGAAGAATTGTCGGGAAGGAGACAAAGCACTTGCGATTCCCAGGTCAAAGCTTCTTAAGGTTGGCATGACTTATGAGTTATAAGATTCTCTATTTCGTCTTTTGTGTTTGAGTGTCTTTGTGTTTCATACGTGTCCATGGTTTAAAATCATTCTATTAACCTAAATAAAGTGTATCCATGTTTTTGTTTGCTTGTTTTCATTTAATTTTGGTAAATGCATGTGTAACTTATTATTATCTTTTTTCCTGTGATTGTTATTTTGTCTATTTTATTGAAAATTAAAAGTTACTGAAGCCAAGTCCACACAAACAAGAATTAGAAATGAACTAGAAATGTGAACTTCGAAATTATACCAGAACAAATATGTAGGATTGGTTATCGGAACTACTACTACTAGATCAACAATAAAATTTAAGTCAAAAAATTTGAATTTACTTTTTCTTGATTTTTATTAACAGGCTAAAGTTCATGCGTCTCCAACTCAAAAAGAATTAGTAATGTGTGGGTTGGTTCATGCTCTTTGTATATTAAAATGTCATTTTACCTTTGATATAGTATTATTCTGAATTAATGGATACTAATATTTTTGGTGTTTACTTCACTGCCCCAATTTTGCCAAATTAAATGTTGCATATCCGGAGTATGTAACAATATATTGCGGGCATAATACTGCGGATCTAACAAAACATACTTCCCCAACGTTTAAAATACTTCTTATATGACTCAATTTCGGGTTATTTTAACTCAAAAACAAAAGATATCATTTCGAAAAGAAAAGAAAAAGTACCTGCTCAAAAAAATTTCTTAAACAATGTACGCAACATATTGAAATGTGACTTAGATCCCTACTTAATTTTATTGTGTGATTTTCAACAATACTGGATGTCTGGATGCATGCAGCTCAACAGTACAGACTCGATATACTGGCCTACATTTGTGGTGGCAGTGGCATTTTAATTCACAAATTCACCCTAATATTATTGATAGTCTAAAATTCACCCTAACATATATTAAAATTTCAATGAATGTATGTGAAAGTTAAAATATATATTTTATAATAACAGGTGATTTTCCTCCAATATTTTACTGGTATCTTTTTTCAATTTTGTTTTTAGTAACAACTTTAACATTTGTCATTTATCTAAATACATACTTCTTGTCATTTACCAATATCTTGTCATTTACCAATGTTTTATATTATTTTGGTTAATTATGATTGTTTTGTCCTTGCCATTTCGTGTGGTTCAAGTGAAAACAGCAACACACGACTCAAGTGTACATTATATATGACATGGGTCATATATAATGTCATATATTAATGTAATGTATAACATAATCCATGTCATATATTAGTACTTTGTTTCTATATTAACGTAATTGTATTACACAAATTTTTTTTTGTTTTTTCCTTGTGAATCTTTGTTAGTTACTTTAGATATCATCATATTATACTATTCCCACGTTTTATATTCTTCTTTATGGTTGTTTCGAGGTATGTCTTTCAGCTTTCTATTCACAGTCTTTGGAAAAAACGGAATGGAAGAAGACACGGGGAGCCACCTACACCACTTTCTAATCTTGCCAAACTGATTGATAAGAATATGGAGAACCGGCTTAATACTTTGGTAATGACAGGTTCACCTGTTTTTGAAGGCAAACTCATGCGATATTGGTTTAACACTCATCGTCGCTAGTAATTCATTTATGTTGTAATCTCTTTATAAATTGTTTTAGAACATTCGGCTCTATATTATATACCAAATTTTTGAAATATAAATATTACATAAGCAAAATATGTGCCATATATCAATAACTATAATACAAAATAAGTAAAATATAACGATGATTTTCCTAACAAAGCTTTATTTGCTAAAAAATGGTTAAATCAATTATGTGAATTCTTCGTAATCAATCTAATTCTGATGCAAACTTTGTGCATGGCAATCATCTCGTGGATAAAAAATATTTTTGATAACTGTTATGATGTATCCATAATCCGATACAAACATTCCGTATCGAAATATATATATATATATATATATCTTATATAATATGAGAAGGTTTTCATTCAACGTTGCATAACACGATGACATCTGGCATCATGTACATTCGACACCTGTCCACACTTCTCATTAAGTCTCAATTATTCTATTTAATCAAAGCTTAAAAGTCTAATCTCCTCTGTAACGTTTTCTTATTTTTAGGAAATTGAGATGTAAAGTTTTGAATGAAAAAAAAAACATAATTAGATTTTTATTTGGCTAACTCTAAACCAAAACGTAGTTCTCATTCATTACATGTTCAATTGATTTTAGAAGAATAAAACTTTTACAACAAAAAACCTAACAATAAATAACGTCTCACGTCTCATGTCTCAAATAAAACAACTATATTCTCTTATGTTATTTTACTTATTTATATTCGTTTCTTATCTATGTTTTTCTCTTTTTATTTCAAGTAGTATTAATATATCAAATCCTCACAATTCAAGGAGTTGCAAAGAGAAAGAGTTAGTTTGTCAAATCCTATAAACTCTAGCTCCCTATAATTCAATCTCTATTCATATTTTGCAAAGGTTTGCTCTCTAACTCTTTAGATTTATTTCCTTACTCCATGTTCATGAAAATCATCTATTTATTTTTTCCCCAGCAAAATAACATTATTCTCTGTTCCTCAACATAATATTTTATTAAGAACATTTATAAACATCCGATCCATATTAACACTTTCTCTCCAATCAAAATACCACCAAATTCTGCACTTTTAAATATGAGGAGTTTTCTCTCCTCTTAGGGTGTCTACATCATCAACAAATTTATCTGATGGATCCCACCAATAATTATTTCAATATATTTAATTTTATAGTTAATTACATCTAATTATTTAAAAATTAATTAGATGAACAATAAACTTGGTGAATACACGGGTTTGTCAATGTCAATATTAAACTTTCTTGATAAAATACATGTTAAACAAGACATGTAAATTTTTTTTGAAAATGTAAAGTGTATTAAAAATACCATTTAATTCAAATTTATTTATAATAAATGAAAATAATTTTAAATACATAATAAAAGAGTTAAGTATAATGATGAATATCAACAATTATATACAAAGCAATGACATATTTATTTATTTATTTCTTCCTTCATGATGTGAGACATCATAGTTGCATTTTAACAATGACGTATTTATTAGTATAATATTATTAATATAATTAACGTATTTAATAGTAATACAAACATTATGTGCCGTTAATGATGCGGTTTATGTTCTTGTTATCACCGTCGAATTCGACCATCCTGTATCCCAAACCCCAGGCGGATTGTAGGGCCCAAATAAGATTTGTGCATTCTGCCTCCTCTGTTGTAGTGCGTCCTTGAAACTTGCCTAATCCACAATCATGAAACACCCCAGCTGAATCTCTAATAATCCATCCTAGACCAGAGACTCTGTTTCCTTCATGATGTGAGACATCATAGTTGCATTTTAACAATGACGTATTTATTAGTATAATGTTTTTAATATAATTAATGTATTTAATAGTAATACAAACATTATGTATTTGTCGTAAAATTAAATTTATACTTAATTTAATTTTAAAATATTAAAATATGTAAAACAAGCACAAGATAAGAGTATTATGTCAAATATAAAAAAAAAACTTAAAAATAAATGATAGTAGTTTATTAAAATACCAAATTGCGTGACGAAATTAATGAAAAACTCCAAAAATTTACGGGATAGCGAAGATAACGTTACAAAATGATATTGTCAAAGAAAATAAGGTCTATAACACTTTTTGTTTTTGCTTATATAGATAAGAGATTATAGTTTGAAAAAGAGAGAAGCATTTTAAAAGATTACGATTTAAGTATTCTGAAAGTAGAAAAAAACTTCAAATTCATTCTATAAATAACAAATCTCAATATTTTGCATTAAAAGAGAAAATGAATAATTACGTGTCATGTTATTCTTTAGTTGTACAATGAAACACATAACATAATGTGTAATATATGTAGAATATCTTATATTTATGTGTAAATCAATATCATGATCAAAGAGAAAAGTATGCTTAGGAATTCACCATTTGGTCAAATGCTTATAGTATGAAAAACTGAGAAACAACAGATTTAAAGCATTTAAAGTTCTGGAGAAACAAATGTTGGATTGCAACAATATATTGACATCTCAAAAAAAAAGCATTAGCGCTAGCTGTCAATATTGTGAAATAACATATTAAGATAGTGTAATATTTATATGACTAGGACTCCGGACCCCCGCGATGTCGCGGGGGAAAATATTTCAAAAATCGTTAAAAAAAATATCAAACGAAAATTAATAATAACGATGGTAGATGATTAAATGTTATAACGATTTACAAAATAAACTTAAAGTTGCAATTTTTCGTGAAATAAACTAAATGTTGCAATGGTTCAACTAAACGGTTGCAATCATTTTATGAAAAATTACGATAAAAAGATGCAACCGTAAAAAATATTTACTCGGATTGCAACTTTCTCAAAAAACATAACGTAAAATAATTTTTTTAGTTTAAAAAGAAATAAATGAAATGTTGCGATATATCAAAAGTTGTAGCGGTTCGTCAAGGTCGTCAAATAAACTATAAAGATTACAATGGTTCGTAAAACAAAACCAAAAATTGCAATGATTGGTCAAATAAACCAAATATTTCAACGGTTCAATTAAACGATTACAATCTCATTTAAATGCATTTTGGTAATTAAAAATTAAAAATATTAATTTATGAAAATTATACCGAGAGACGCGACGTTGCAATTTGTAAAATAAACCAAAGGTTGCAATTGTTCGTGAAATACAAAACAAAATATATAAATCAAAGGTTGCAATCGTTCGTGAAATAAACTAAATATATAAATCAAAGGTTACAATTGTTTGTGATATAAAACTAAAGGGTTCAATTGTTCGTGAAATAGACTAAATATTGCAATAATTCGAATAAAAGGTTGCAACTGTTTATGAAGAGGTACAATAAAAAGAAGCAACCGCAGAAGATATTCGGATTGCAATTATCTAAAAAACATACCCGTAAAATATAAATTTTAGTTTAAAAATTAAAAATATATCCATATGTAAACTATGAAATAAACTAATTTTATATGTAGTTTTTTTGTTTACGTAAAAAGAAATTCAATAAAACAACATGACCGTACAAAAATAACTGTAAGAAAAACAATCATAAATATTTAAACGAAATGTTGCAATAAAAAGACACAACCGTTCAGATGTACAAATGGTATTTATTGGAAACGATATAACCGTAAAAAAAAAACCGATTAAAACGAAAATTACGATAAAAAGACGCAACCAAAATAACCGTACAAAAATAACCGATTTAAACGAAAAGTTGCGATAAAAAGACGCAACCGTTCAGATGTACAAATAGTATTTATTAGATTGCTATTATATATAGATTATAATATTACATATAAAAGTTATTTTAAATATTTTGTCATTTAACATTACCGCCGCTATTATCACTTTTAACCTATTGTTTGTAATTACCACTACAAAGGTCGTTACCATATTTCACAAGTTTGATTCATATATTTTTCTATATTATTGTTACACACAAATTTTCAAAAATAATATAATGTAAGAAGATTATCCACTTATTCATTTATTATTTTATTTTTAAGGACAAAATTTCTAATGAAATAAAATAATTAGACCAATATAGTTTACGACTAAACCCACGCAACGCGTGGGTCGATTTCTAGTATATATATATTTTATAAGACTTTCCCACGTTTTATATTCTTATAGTAATAATAAAATATTATAGAAATAACAAAGAAAAAACTCTAAGCAGTGAGCATGGAATAATCTTAGCAATTCGCATATGATAGCCACTACCACCTATTAGGGAGAGAGGGGCCAGAGGGCAGATGCCCAAGTAAACCATTTTTATTCTAATTGAAGGCACATTTAAAAAGAAAAAAAAATGCTTATTTATTTAATTAGTTTACAATGAAAACTTTTTCGAATGGAAACTAGGCATATCATTCTTATTAACACATCTTTTCATAAAATATTTATATAAACATTGAAAACAAAAAGAAGAACTTAGAGGATTATTGAACATTTTAAGTATTAAACAAATAGTGTTTCAAAATTTTTTACTACCACTTTTCATTACGTTTTCGAAATAATAATATAATTATTTAGAGAAAATTATTACATAAGTAATATTTTTAAAATCGGCCTAGGCCTAGCTAATATGTATCTAAGTACGGCAATGAAATGAGGTATCTAGGGAAGGAAATTCGTAGAAGTTCTGGGTTCAATTCTATTTCGAACGAAGTCGTACTTGTGTGGCCACTTGAACTTGAGCTTTAGGCCAAACATTTTCCCGAGATGAGTGCTGAAAACTCATGCCAAAGAGTCTTATCTCACAGTCGTAGTTGACCCAAATACCGTAGCAATATGCATCTAGGGTCTATATAGGGATACTAATTTTAAATTATGTCTAGATACACAAGCTTGTGTTTTTTTCTTCTGCATCCTTTGTTAGTTACTTTAGGTACTAAAATTACTTCCACGTTGTAATATTCTTATAGAAAAAATAGCTATAAAACAAAGAAACATTCAGTTCTTTACAAAAAAGAAAAGAAAAGACATGTTTCTGCTTCTGAAGCCTCTCCTTTCTCTACAAGATTTATCTCTTAACCTTATCTCGGTAATGGTAAGGCATCTTCTCTCTTCCTTTATCTATGTCGCCCTCTGTTTATTTATTTATTTATTATAATACACATATCTCCCATGTATATATAATATATTTCGTACAATTGTTTTACACTGAAATTAGTTTTCATTCTTTTGTCTATCATTATAAGAAGTTCCATGGAGAAATTCTTAAAGCATCCGTGGATAGTGTGGGGATAAGCATGGACACTATGTGGAGAGAAACAAGGAGTGTACTCATAGTTCCAGTGTTCAAGTGTGTGGTGGCTATGTGTTTGGTCATATCATTATTGATTTTCATGGAGAGTGTTTACATGAACCTTGTAGTACTCTACGTCAAGTTGTTTAACCGAAAACCTGAGAAGGTCTATAAATGGGAGGCAATGCAGGAAGATATGGAGCTTGGTCATCAAAACTATCCGATGGTCCTTGTCCAAATCCCAATGTACAACGAACGAGAGGTTCATGTTTTATTTTGACCCTTCGCTATCTCTTTATAGTATGCGTTATATATTAATTGGCAAGCAAGATTAAAAATAACATTTGATTTGTAAACAATTACATCTCATGCCAAGGCCAGCTTAATTTATCTCTAAACCATGTTTACGAAAATATTATAGACTAGATTTTACCCCGCGGTACACCGCGGGTCGATTTTTTTATAACTAAAAAATTATTTAGCAAAACTTTAAGTTGTATTTGTTTTGTTAATATTGTTTATTTTGTTTAGTGTTTCTGATTTTATAATTAAATTTTGATTTTTAATTCTAAGATTTAATCCATACTATATTAATATCGATCTAAACCCGTTGCACCATATAACCCCGTCCCGTAAAATTAAACATCTTTTGTTATTTTTTTGAATAATATTTTATCCACTACGGGTTGGTCCACTACGGGTCGCAGGTTCATGCGGATAAGCCCGTAGAGAGTTGCGGATTTGCGTGTCGACCCGCCAAAAGAGAAGCTATCTTTTGAAACCCTTTGTTTATTTAGAGGTTTTGAGAAAATATCCCTAAAAAATAAATTTCATTATATGAAAAAAAAGAAGTAGAAGAAATTGTAGTATCAACATTCCCGATTTTTACATCACTCGTTACTATTAATTTTTTTTTTGCAGATAAAAATCAGAAGTTAACTAAGTCGAGATTTTTAAAAAGATTGTGTAGAGATTTTTGGTATATTGTTGAGAACATATTTGATTTCAAAATCTTTACTTAAATAGATTAGGAAAGATTTTGTAGAGACTTTTGCTAAATATATGAGAAATGAATTTCATTTAAAAATCTTTACTTAAATAAAACAAATCTAAATAATTAATGCTAATGGCATGCCATTGTAAATACTTCTCAACTTCAGGATTTATTTGCTAATTGTGATCCAAAAATGTATATATAATAGATATATCCTATATTTAATATGTTATTAATTGGCTTAAAATTTTAAATATATTTTTAATCGAGGTGTTAGACTACTCCATTTGCACAACATGCTAAAGAACGGGCTTGTCTCATACTATACTATCTAAATTTATCATCAAATATTTACATACACTTCATATATTAATTTCTATTTATTATTTTAAACTTTACATGAATATGAAATTTATAAATGAAAAAGGTTGTAATATTTTCATTTATTTAAGCATATTTATATACGAACTTTAAATAATACAATCTAGCTAATTTTTTGTCAGTGAATGAACTACTTTAAAATTGATTTTCTTAAACATTTTACCATATAACATAATATTGATCATAAAAGATCTCAAATTCAATATAATTAATTTTTAAAATCAGTTAAATGTTTCAATCATTAGACTATAGTGTTTTAAACACATTTTATCTTTCTTGTTACTTATATAAAGATTACATATGTTTTCTTTAACAACAAAAAAAAAGATTACATATGTTTTCCTATTATTATATCCTATAAAGATTACATATGTTTTCTTTAACAACAAAAAAAAGATTACATACGTTTTCCTATTATTATATCCTATAAAGATTACATATGTTTTCTTTAACAAAAAAAAAAAGATTACATATGTTTCCTATTATTATATCCTAGAATAGTCCATAACAAAACTTTTCTAACTTTCTTACTAATCAACTGTTGTCGTATTAAAAAAAGAACGAGCATTTTAATTATTAAACTTTGAGGGAATGAAGTATAATAAAGAAAGAAAAAGAAATTTAATTAAAAAAAAACCTGACCCACACTCTCTCACACTCTCTCTCTCTCACACTCGCATACTTTTTCTTTTTAAGAAAAAGAAATTAAAAAAAAAAACCTGACCCACACTCTCTCTCTCTCACACGTCACACTCTCTCTCACACGTCACACTCTCTCTCTCTCACACTCTCCCTTTCACCAAATTATAAATAGTAACGGTACTAGTTTCACAATTAAGTTTGGGAAACGTACTATATTGCAACATATTCCTAAAAAAAACCCACACGTGATTATTCCGTTAACATGTTCCTTTCGTCTTTTAGTGCAAGTAACACCGACTACACTTCTTACTCTCTTTGTCTCATATGTCAACTAGCATATAATTAAGTTGTTTGTTTGATTTTTCAAACTTTTTTAATAGGAAAAAATTAAGTTATGCTGACAAAATAATTTTGAATCTGCAGGTCTTTGAATTATCTATAGGTGCTGCGTGCAGACTAACATGGCCATCGGACCGCCTAATTGTTCAAGTTTTAGATGATTCTACCGATCCAGCCATCATGGTCCGTTCTTAATAAACTCTTCATGGACAGAGTTCGCTAGCTAATAAAACTTTTTTAAATAATAAACATACCAATGACATATATGACTTAATTATGCCATTGTTAATCATTATTGAGTTAAATTTCAGGAACTGGTGAGCATGGAATGTGCAAAATGGGCATCAAAAGGCATAAACATAAAGTATGAGAGGCGAGACAACAGAAATGGCTACAAGGCTGGAGCTCTTAAGCATGGCATGAGACACAGCTACGTCAAGCAGTGCAACTATTTGGCCATCTTTGATGCTGATTTCCAGCCCGAGCCTGACTACCTCCAACGCGCTATCCCCTTTCTTATCCACAACCCTGAGGTCGCTCTAGTTCAAGCTCGATGGAGATTTGGTATGTACATCTATATAACAACAACATAAAAACTTGTAGGTATTTTAAACATGTCTAGTAATATAATTCGTTTTAGGAATTATAGGTTTCCAACAAAATGATTAACAATGGCATAACTCCGTTTTCGAAGTGTTGTAACATTCTAAAAAAAGCTGACAGTGAAAGTATCAAAATGGTAAATAATCAACTAATCAAGTATATATAATATCATTGGTTAAAAATATGCTCCTTGCATATTAATTAGTTTTGAGATAAAAACTTAATGTGAATGTGGTTCATGATATATATGAATATGATTCGGTCATGCAGTGAACGCGAACACATGCTTAATGACGAGGATCCAAGAGATGTCTCTCAACTACCATTTCATGGCAGAGCAACAATCTGGATCCACAAGACATGCTTTCTTTGGCTTTAATGGTATATAAAACATTACATTAATTAATAAAAGATTGAAAAATTCATATAATGGGATTTATATATATGCAGGAACTGCGGGAGTGTGGAGAATGGCGGCGATGGAAGAAGCTGGAGGATGGAAGGACCGGACGACGGTGGAGGACATGGACTTGGCCGTTCGTGTTGGTCTTCTCGGTTGGAAATTTATCTTCGTCAATGACCTCGAGATAATTTATTCCCTTTCTGTAAATTTGTAATTTATATGGCTAGAATGTTTCTGGAAGACTAAATAATGTTTAAAACTCAATTTTGTTGTTGCATAAGTTAACATATAATAAACAAATTAGTTTCAATTTTCTAGTATTTCTTTTTAGGTAAAATGTAAAAGCAATTAGGCTATTCACAACTATATAGTGTGTGCATTTTCGTGTGGTTTTCTAAATAAGAATGCTTATAATCATTGTAAAACAAAACTTAATTGTGGTTGTAGGTGAAAAGCGAGCTACCAAGCCAATTTAAGGCCTTTAGATTCCAGCAACATCGGTGGTCTTGCGGTCCAGCCAATCTCTTCCGGAAAATGATGATGGAAATTATTCACAATAAGGTCTTTTACCATTTACTTAATTTCATTTTCAGACACATTTCCCACGTGCCAACTACATTTTTGTTGGCTCATCCTTTAACAACAATTTGAAAAGGGGCAAGTTTCTAACCATTGCCAACCAAACAAAAATACATACCTAAAAGGGGACAACGACATTTTAATTTGACTACCTTGAAAAAATCTTCTGATTTACCAACAACCTAATTAACTCATATTATACTTTTTTGAGCTAATCCAGAATTCAGGCTGGTTGAACCAAAGTGGAACCCAACATTGAAATTTTCTTTTATTTCTAAATTCAAATATGAGGTGTATGATATAGTAACCATAAACTAATTAAAAACTTATGATAAGCAGAGAGTGAAGATTTGGAAGAAGTTTTACGTGATCTACAGCTTCTTTTTCCTACGGAAGATCTTAGTCCACTTCTTCAGTTTCTTCTTCTATTGTGTCGTCCTTCCTACAAGTGTCTTCCTTCCCGAAGTCAAAATTCCGAACTGGTCGACTATATACGGTCCTTCTATCATCACCCTCTTCAGTGCCATCGCCACTCCAAGGTTATTACTATATATCCTATAACGACCACATTTATGCACTCTATATATTACCTTAATTACATTTTTACTATGAATTATTGGTAGATCATTCTACCTCGTGGGTTTTTGGGTCTTATTCGAAAATGTAATGGCTATGCATCGGACCAAAGGAACTTTGATTGGCTTATTTGAAGGAGGAAGAGTCAATGAATGGGTTGTCACAGAGAAATTAGGAGATACTCTTAACACTAAGCTACTTCGCCGGAATGGACGACTTTTGAAAAGGTAAATTAACCAAAACGAAAGAAAGAAAATAAAAAAATTTGAAAAGAAAGAATATCAATTAATTAACATAAATTTTGACGTAATCCAGACTTAGAAGACTCAAACTAGTTAATAGCATTTGTTATTTGTTAAATTTTTTAAATTTTTATTTCTTAAAATGATATTTTTGTTGAATAAATTTAATATTCATTCAAAAAGAAATATACGTATGTAATGTAGTGATTTATTCGCGTTAGACTAGCAAAACTCTTTTTTGTGTGTAAAAAGGTTAGAATGAAGAATAAATAAAACAATATTTATGGATACTAATGAGTGAAAGAAAATGTTTTGTTGCAGAGTAAATTTGAAGGAGATGATGATGGGTATATACATATTATGTTGTGCTTGCTACGACTTTGCCTTTGGAAACGCATTTTTATATTTATATCTCTTCATGCAAGCCACTGCTTTTCTCATCTCCGGAATTGGCTTTGTTGGAACTTAACACGACTCATATGAAAATCTTCTACTTGTAATCAAGTATATATGTGCAAGAACCATTATCATGTTGATAAAATTGTGATTCCATTTGTTTAGCATGATGTAATTTGATATGTATAATTACGTGCTTTTGTCCAAATACATTATTTCTTCTTGTTGCTCGCCTTCTGGTTGCTCACTGCTTATCGTTTTAAGTGCCTCATTCAAACGGTCAATCAATAAAGCTTTTTTGCCTGTTGTTGAGTAATTGCGATCAGAAAGATGTTTTCGCAATTCAACAACTGTCAAAGTATTAACCGGTCGACCCTCTAACATTTCATAATCCGGATTCTCATTTTGGTCACCCATATTTTTATGCAACACCAACAGCAAGTTCCCAACTTTCAATACCCAAGTTGCAAGTATACAACACCAACAGCAACAGCAAGTTCCCAACTTTCAAAGCAGTAGTAAGTTCCCAACTTTCAATACCCAAGTTGCAAGTATACAACACCAACAACAACAGCAAGTTCCCAACTTTCAAAGCAGTAGCAAGTTCCCAAATTTCATATCAAACAACCTATTTACAGTGAAGAGAGAGAGAAAGTTCTGTTGGAAACAAACACATGGGCAAGAACAAAACTTTGAGATTGGTAGGAAGATGAACACAAGGAGAAAATAAATCAATTCAATTGAAGACATAAATTTTGACGTAATCCAGACTTAGAAGACTCAAACTAGTTAATAGCATTTGTTATTTGTTAAATTTTTTAAATTTTTATTTCTTAAAATGATATTTTTGTTGAATAAATTTAATATTCATTCAAAAAGAAATATACGTATGTAATGTAGTGATTTATTCGCATTAGACTAGCAAAACTCTTTTTTGTGTGTAAAAAGGTTAGAATGAAGAATAAATAAAACAATATTTATAGATACTAATGAGTGAAAGAAAATGTTTTGTTGCAGAGTAAATTTGAAGGAGATGATGATGGGTATATACATATTATGTTGTGCTTGCTACGACTTTGCCTTTGGAAACGCATTTTTATATTTATATCTCTTCATGCAAGCCACTGCTTTTCTCATCTCCGGAATTGGCTTTGTTGGAACTTAACACGACTCATATGAAAATCTTCTACTTGTAATCAAGTATATATGTGCAAGAACCATTATCATGTTGATAAAATTGTGATTCTATTTGTTTAGCATGATGTAATTTGATATGTATAATTACGTGCTTTTGTCCAAATACATTATTTCTTCTTGTTGCTCGCCTTCTGGTTGCTCACTGCTTATCGTTTTAAGTGCCTTATTCAAACGGTCAATCAATAAAGCTTTTTTGCCTGTTGTTGAGTAATTGCGATCAGAAAGATGTTTTCGCAATTCAACAACTGTCAAAGTATTAACCGGTCGACCCTCTAACATTTCATAATCCGGATTCTCATTTTGGTCACCCATATTTTTATGCAACACCAACAGCAAGTTCCCAACTTTCAAAGCAGTAGTAAGTTCCCAACTTTCAATACCCAAGTTGCAAGTATACAACAGCAACAGCAACAGCAAGTTCCCAACTTTCAAAGCAGTAGTAAGTTCCCAACTTTCAATACCCAAGTTGCAAGTATACAACACCAACAGCAACACCAAGTTCCCAACTTTCAAAGCAGTAGCAAGTTCCCAAATTTCATATCAAACAACCTATTTACAGTGAAGAGAGAGAGAAAGTTCCGTTGGAAACAAACACATGGGCAAGAACAAAACTTTGAGATTGGTAGGAAGATGAACACAAGGAGAAAATAAATCAATTCAATTGAAGACATAAATTTTGACGTAATCCAGACTTAGAAGACTCAAACTAGTTAATAGCATTTGTTATTTGTTAAAATTTTTAAATTTTTATTTCTTAAAATGATATTTTTGTTGAATAAATTTAATATTCATTCAAAAAGAAATATACGTATGTAATGTAGTGATTTATTCGCATTAGACTAGCAAAACTCTTTTTTGTGTGTAAAAAGGTTAGAATGAAGAATAAATAAAACAATATTTATGGATACTAATGAGTGAAAGAAAATGTTTTGTTGCAGAGTAAATTTGAAGGAGATGATGATGGGTATATACATATTATGTTGTGCTTGCTACGACTTTGCCTTTGGAAACGCAATTTTATTTTTATATCTCTTCATGCAAGCCACTGCTTTTCTCATCTCCGGAATTGGCTTTGTTGGAACTTAACACGACTCATATGAAAATCTTCTACTTGTAATCAAGTATATATGTGCAAGAACCATTATCATGTTGATAATATTGTGATTCTATTTGTTTAGCATGATGTAATTTGATATGTATAATTACGTGCTTTTGTCCAAATACATTATTTCTTCTTGTTGCTCGCCTTCTGGTTGCTCACTGCTTATCGTTTTAAGTGCCTCATTCAAACGGTCAATCAATAAAGCTTTTTTGCCTGTTGTTGAGTAATTGCGATCAGAAAGATGTTTTCGCAATTCAACAACTGTCAAAGTATTAACCGGTCGACCCTCTAACATTTCATAATCCGGATTCTCATTTTGGTCACCCATATTTTTATGCAACACCAACAGCAAGTTCCCAACTTTCAATACCCAAGTTGCAAGTATACAACACCAACAACAACAGCAAGTTCCCAACTTTCAAAGCAGTAGTAAGTTCCCAACTTTCAATATCCAAGTTGCAAGTATACAACACCAACAGCAACAGCAAGTTCCCAACTTTCAAAGCAGTAGTAAGTTCCCAACTTTCAATACCCAAGTTGCAAGTATACAACACCAACAGCAACAACAAGTTCCCAACTTTCAAAGCAGTTCAAGTTCCCAAATTTCATATCAAACAACCTATTTACAGTGAAGAGAGAGAGAAAGTTCCGTTGGAAACAAACACATGGGCAAGAACAAAACTTTGAGATTGGTAGGAAGATGAACACATGGAGAAAATAAATCAATTCAATTGAAGACATAAATTTTGACGTAATCCAGACTTAGAAGACTCAAACTAGTTAATAGCATTTGTTATTTGTTAAATTTTTTAAATTTTTATTTCTTAAAATGATATTTTTGTTGAATAAATTTAATATTCATTCAAAAAGAAATATACGTATGTAATGTAGTGATTTATTCGCATTAGACTAGCAAAACTCTTTTTTGTGTGTAAAAAAGTTAGAATGAAGAATAAATAAAACAATATTTATGGATACTAATGAGTGAAAGAAAATGTTTTGTTGCAGAGTAAATTTGAAGTAGATGATGATGGGTATATACATATTATGTTGTGCTTGCTACGACTTTGCCTTTGGAAACGCATTTTTATATTTATATCTCTTCATGCAAGCCACTGCTTTTCTCATCTCCGGAATTGGCTTTGTTGGAACTTAACACGACTCATATGAAAATCTTCTACTTGTAATCAAGTATATATGTGCAAGAACCATTATCATGTTGATAAAATTGTGATTCCATTTGTTTAGCATGATGTAATTTGATATGTATAATTACGTGCTTTTGTCCAAATACATTATTTCTTCTTGTTGCTCGCCTTCTGGTTGCTCACTGCTTATCGTTTTAAGTGCCTCATTCAAACGGTCAATCAATAAAGCTTTTTTGCCTGTTGTTGAGTAATTGCGATCAGAAAGATGTTTTCGCAATTCAACAACTGTCAAAGTATTAACCGGTCGACCCTCTAACATTTCATAATCCGGATTCTCATTTTGGTCACCCATATTTTTATGCAACACCAACAGCAAGTTCCCAACTTTCAATACCCAAGTTGCAAGTATACAACACCAACAACAACAGCAAGTTCCCAACTTTCAAAGCAGTAGTAAGTTCCCAACTTTCAATACCCAAGTTGCAAGTATACAACACCAACAGCAACAGCAAGTTCCCAACTTTCAAAGCAGTAGTAAGTTCCCAACTTTCAATACCCAAGTTGCAAGTATACAACACCAACAGCAACAACAAGTTCCCAACTTTCAAAGCAGTAGCAAGTTCCCAAATTTCATATCAAACAACCTATTTACAGTGAAGAGAGAGAGAAAGTTCCGTTGGAAACAAACACATGGGCAAGAACAAAACTTTGAGATTGGTAGGAAGATGAACACATGGAGAAAATAAATCAATTCAATTGAAGACATAAATTTTGACGTAATCCAGACTTAGAAGACTCAAACTAGTTAATAGCATTTGTTATTTGTTAAATTTTTTAAATTTTTATTTCTTAAAATGATATTTTTGTTGAATAAATTTAATATTCATTCAAAAAGAAATATACGTATGTAATGTAGTGATTTATTCGCATTAGACTAGCAAAACTCTTTTTTGTGTGTAAAAAAGTTAGAATGAAGAATAAATAAAACAATATTTATGGATACTAATGAGTGAAAGAAAATGTTTTGTTGCAGAGTAAATTTGAAGGAGATGATGATGGGTATATACATATTATGTTGTGCTTGCTACGACTTTGCCTTTGGAAACGCATTTTTATATTTATATCTCTTCATGCAAGCCACTGCTTTTCTCATCTCCGGAATTGGCTTTGTTGGAACATAACACGACTCATATGAAAATCTTCTACTTGTAATCAAGTATATATGTGCAAGAACCATTATCATGTTGATAAAATTGTGATTCCATTTGTTTAGCATGATGTAATTTGATATGTATAATTACGTGCTTTTGTCCAAATACATTATTTCTTCTTGTTGCTCGCCTTCTGGTTGCTCACTGCTTATCGTTTTAAGTGCCTCATTCAAACGGTCAATCAATAAAGCTTTTTTGCCTGTTGTTGAGTAATTGCGATCAGAAAGATGTTTTCGCAATTCAACAACTGTCAAAGTATTAACCGGTCGACCCTCTAACATTTCATAATCCGGATTCTCATTTTGGTCACCCATATTTTTATGCAACACCAACAGCAAGTTCCCAACTTTCAATACCCAAGTTGCAAGTATACAACACCAACAACAACAGCAAGTTCCCAACTTTCAAAGCAGTAGTAAGTTCCCAACTTTCAATACCCAAGTTGCAAGTATACAACACCAACAGCAACAGCAAGTTCCCAACTTTCAAAGCAGTAGTAAGTTCCCAACTTTCAATACCCAAGTTGCAAGTATACAACACCAACAACAACAGCAAGTTCCCAACTTTCAAAGCAGTAGCAAGTTCCCAAATTTCATATCAAACAACCTATTTACAGTGAAGAGAGAGAGAAAGTTCCGTTGGAAACAA